GGGGTAATAGATAAAGAAATAAAAGTTTTCTCATCAAATGTGGGTTCGTTTACTGCTCTGTTATAGATTCTTGCCAAAATTAATATTCTATTGAAATTTATATAGCCATTTTCTATTCTTTTCAGTTCTTGGCACTGACTTTTGGCAACTAAGCCCCTTATGTCTTTTTTTGCCCAGTAGAGTTCTGGCTTACATTTGTCCCTTTTACATTTTATGCATTATACAGTGACACTACTGCTAACCCAAGCAATTAATCTAAGTATTTCTCCCAAGTAAATAACTTCTTAAAATGGCATTCCAGTTGTCTTAATGTGCAGAGGACTGTAATATTGATTATGCCCAAGGCAGGCTGTGAAGACAACCCCGCAACTGGCTTGTTTATAGAAGTGAGTCTGGCTGAAGCCTATGTGCTGAGGTCAGAGTAACTCGCACCCAAATTCCGTTCCCACAACTAAAATCTTCTAACTAGAAGGACAATGTTCTAATTGCAACCATATATTTTCTCTCTTCTGTTTCTAATTTGAGAATGCTTTGTCTTGTCCTTTATGAGCCTTGTTTACATTAATTTCCGTAGAAACCACTTGTAGCTCGCCTTTAACCCAACTGATTGCCTATAAAAGTCAGTGCCTAGGACTGTCCAGCAGCTTTGTTGGTTGCACCGGCATTGGTCGTCCTGGCTCCCCACTTTCTCTTAGTTCTGTTACTTAGTGTATTTTTTTCTCAGGCCTGCGTCCTATACTGGGCAGGAGGGGACTAAAACCTAGCTTCAGGGGTCTCCAGTTTAATGTATTTACTCAGTTTTCTTCTCTTTACTAGTGTGGACTGGGTCTAACACTGAAGATAATAAATAAAGGTATATTAACAATGTAAATTACGTAGGGCTGGATTAAAACTGGCACTGCAATAGTTAAAAAGAGAAGGAAATCTTTTCTTCTTCAGAATACCAGTGAGAATAACCTGGGAATTTGTTTTCAGCAAAATTCAGATCCTTTCACAACAATAGTAAGCTTAACTGCTTTGATGAATCTTTATCTTATCAACCAAAATTATTGCTTTGGAGATAGAATATCTGCTCCAACAGTCCAATTGTAAATGAGTATAAAGATTTCTTATCTCATTGTCTCATTGTCAAATTAGCTATGAAAAAAGTTATGTTCTTAGCATACCCAATTGGAATTCTGCATAAAATTTCCTAAGTATTTATTAAACAAATAGTTCTTAGTGCCTGTTTGACTCTATTCTAGGAGACAGTAGTACTGGCATACTCTTCTACACTTACATTGTAATAAGGAGAAACAGACAGTAAATACATGATAAATGTGGAAATATTAGGTGATAATAAGTGGGATATTTTTAGAGTAGAAATACCTATCATAACCTGCCTCCTGTATTTCCTAAATTCTTAAGAGTGCTGTGCAACAGACAGTCTTCCCTGGAAGCCATGGAGCTAGGGAGGCTGAAGTGTAGGATGGAGAGGTTAGCCTTCCAGATCAGCAGGCTGGTCAGAGGAGAGTAAAGAGTGGAAGAGGAAGTTCTACAAACTAGTCAGGGTTAGAGAGCATTGAGCTTAGTAGTGTGAATAGGCTGAAAGTTTAAGTCAATTATCCAGGTATATCCTATAATAGAATGTGCCAGCAGTGTTCTAATGTAATGTTTATAAAATATATTAAATACTATATACATGTATCACGTACAGTAAAACTTTGTAAACATGAATAAAGTTTCCACTGAATAATGACTTCTATTACTATTGTTCTGTTATTATCTGTTTTCTCTTTGCAAAATCATAAACTTTTAGTAAGTTGAGTACTTATTATTCTTAGCACCAGAAATGATTATCATTTTGGGAAAATTCTATTAAAAGGTATTTTACTTCACTCTTAGTATAATTATATATTTCTATGAACTGCTCTGCTAATTTCAAGAGCCAAGGAACAGGGTGAATAATATTGACCAAATTTACCCAAGACCATACAGCCCACCAGAGGCAGAGATTTTCTTCATCCTCAGGCTTTGTGATCATAAATTTGAAATCATTATTTTACTTTGGATTTCAATATTTCTCACATAATTATGACCAATGAAATGCACTCTAATTTTGTGATATATTAAGGTATGTCTCTAAATTAAACCTAATCACTGTTGTGTAGAATGTTCTACACTGATTCAGTACACAGTGGAGTCAGAGGTGATATACTGTATAGCAGAATGTAAAGGCCTGCAGAGTGGGGCAATATAACAATATAACAAGATATCACTGGTGATTTAATCCCCTGTGGTCAAATTTGAGTTTCCTCCTTCTAGAAATAGTACACAAGATAATTAGGTAACTTTGTTCAATCACATTGTTTTAGCTGAATGTTCCATTTCAGATGATTGTAACACTACTGGGTATTATACACTTACTATACACTTATTATACACTGGGTATTATTAGAACATGGGCACATTGAGAGATATAAAGATAAAATATGCAGAATGATGTGAAAGGACTGAGGTATAATGTATATTAGTATACTTACATTGAAGATGGTAGGAAGTATAATTTTTGAGAAAATAATTTTGTGTTAAAGTTATCTCGGAGCTGAAGTATCAGACAAAGTTGAGAAAAAATAATTTTGGGGAAAGGAAACAATTTAAGTTCTGACTAAAAGGTGAAAGATCCAAATATATATTCGAGTCCAACAAATGGTTTAAAGTTCTGGAGTTTAATGTGAATAAAAAACCAGTAATCCTAAACAAAGACAGGCTGACAAGGAGTAATTTTATCCTTTGTTTGATGACACATTTTATAGCATGGAACTTGGGGAACTACTTAATATTTTTTAAAAGACACTGGTCTGTTATTTATAATTAAGAGGTAGATGGAATAAGGTGCTCTCAAAAAGAACAGGAAAGTAACTTTCAGGCAAAATAATGAGAATTAAGGGACTTTGGTTTTATCACAACCATTTGAGCTGGAAATTTCAATAACCACTCGTAACACTTTCTGTATCATCTTCAGATGTTATGTTTCTTGTGCTCTTACCTTGTCCAATATATATTTAGAATCTACAACGATGCATCTTTAAGCTCAGATTACAATTATTAAAAGTTTAAAAGAAGATATTTGCAAGTAAATACTAGCTGGCTAAGCATAGTAGCTAAGTGAATAGTTACTTGTCATTCTTTTTTGTTTACTTGAAATATGAAAAGTCTCCTGTAGATGTTAAGTGAAAGACTTCTTTGTCTAATGTCTTTGGTAGATATGGGCAGTGCTATACATTTTCAACATAGTTATTACAGCAGTATATATGGAATTTGATATACTGCATAACAAGGACACTTTAAATTACATAGTGTGTGCGGTATGCAGACTTGGAAAAAGGCCCCCAAGACTTTTACCCTCTGGTGTACATACCCTGTGTAATCAAGCCCTTCTCCTTGATGTGGATGGTATCTGTGAATATGATGGAGACAGAGGGTGGCAGAAAGAATTTGGCAGATATAATTAAGGTTGACTTTGAGCTAATCAAAAGATTAGTATACAATACGTTTACATTTATCATTGGGTACTTGTACCTGTACATGATGCATCTTAGTTCTTATTTTTTCCCATTACCTGTGCGCCCTTTCACCCCCTCCACCTTTCCCTGTTTACACAGATTTCTTTTCCATTTTTTTTCTTTTCTCATAATTTTTCCTTTCTCTTCTTCCCTTTCCCCTTCCCCTCCTACCACCCAGTTCTTTTTTTTTTTGTACTGAGGATAGAACTCAGGACCTTGGCATGAGAGGCAGGCGCCGTAACCACTGAGCTAAAGCCCCAGCCCCGCTATGCAGTTCTTTATATGGGAGTAACATATACATGCATGTGGGAAGGGGTAAAATGAAGCAGACATTGAAAAAGGAGACAAACTAGTGGGAGAGGGCCCAGGTTTACGTGCTGTGTACTCAAGGGTTTTGAAACTGGGTTGGATATCTGTAAGTGTCCAAGGAAAATATGTAAACTTCTATTTCTCATACACAAAACTTTATTTTTTGGGTATATGTAAACATATATATATATATATATATATATATATATATATATATATGTATATATATGGAAGCATGGGTGGGTAATATTTATAGTTAGGGATGTTAAAATGAAAGGTACTCATCCTTCAAAATATATCCTCATTGGGCCGGGGATTTAGCTCAGTGGTTTTGCTGTCTGCTGTGCAAGTACAAGGACCCGAGTTCAATCCCTGGTACCAAAAAAAAAACCAAAACAAAAACAATGACAACAAAAAAACCAAAACATATCCTCATTTTATTCTTTCCATCCATTATATAAAAGTTTGAATCTATGCTAAACACTTAAATTATGTAGTTTCTTTAGGCAATTTATAACCCTAGAGACCGTCTTTCCAGTGGGTTCTAGGAGCCCTCACTCACCTTGCTGGCTGAGGCAACGTCTACCCAATGTATGTGAGAATTTGTCTGGGGACTTGTTAAGCCGGAACCCTAACCTTTTCGGTAAAGGTCAAACAGGAGCCCTGGAGTGAGTGACCTGGAAACCTGCTCCCAAAGAACACCTACATCATTTTCATTCTTACTAAGCTGCAAACTGGGTATCCACGATACATCACGTTAGCCCATGGAAAACAGAAAATGTGATCTTTGGGAAAAACACAACCACAATTCCTTAAAACAGAACAGGTACTACGAAGTGTCCACACAAATGGATGTGGGAAGCTACGAAATACAAAGCTGGAAAAATACCTGAATTTATCCTGTGATGTATCATGTCCTATGCTGAAAAGCTGTTCATTTCCAAAATGCTCAACATGTTGGAAAGAAATCATTTTTTAAAGTTTTTTTCCTAAGAGAGTATTATTTTTTTTTGGTACCCAGGATCGAGCTCTGGACCTTGCACTTGTGAGGCAGGTGGCAGAACCACTGAACTAAATCCCCAGCCCTTTTCTAAGAGAGTGTTATGGAGAGTGTGTGAAGCAGTAAGCAATCTTTGTACCAAAAAAGCTTATCCACGATATTTATTTCTGAACATTCAGAACACCACATTATGACAGAATAAAAAGAAAGCACCAAAAATTGCTACACATTAATACCTGAGTGGAGACTGAAGGCAAATATTCACCTATTAAACCTACACCACAATGCTGGAACACAGGTGAAATCATTCACAACATTCTACAGAATACAGTAAGTAGCACTTTTTCTGAATTATAACCAGTTAAATGTGACAATGTTAGCACACAGTACCAAAAGTCCACATAGAATCACACATCGGTGTATTCAGTACACCACACCTTATACAAAGTACTGGAGAAGAACATGCCTGCTTAAATAGAAGAGTCTGCATAGTGACAACCATTTTTCAGTATACACCACAGGACAAGTCCTTTGCACTATTAAGTCTTGTTACTATGCGCTGTACTCTCTGGATGAGAACAAAATTAATTTGCAATAAATAAATAATACCTACTGAATTTTTTTTGGTACTGGGGATCAAACTTGGGTCCTTGCGCTTGCGAGGCAGGTGGCAGAACCACTGAGCTAAATCCCCGGCCCACCTACTGAATTTTTATCACTATAAGTTTGTACTCTGTAACTTTTAAACTATAATATAAAAAGGATGCAGGTTGAAAGCCAGTTACTTTATTAAATACCCTTGTCCAAAGTACTTTCTTGTGAATATGATCAGGTTTTAAGAAGACACATTGTCTTTCTACATATTTTTAGAGAAAGTTATTTTATTTATTTTTTTGCCTTGGGATGAGGGAAGTAGTGGAAATAAAACAGAAGGAAAGAAATGTGTTGAGTTTATGTTCAGAACTAAATTTAAAATTAGTACACTCCCAAAACACACAAATGTGACAACTTTTAGCAGAGACGATGACTGTCCTGCAAATGGAACAATTCGGACTTTTTTTGAGACAGGGTCTTGCTACATAGTGCAGGCTGGCCTCAAACTTGTGGCGATCCTCCTGTCTCAGTCTCCCGAGTGCTGGGACTACAGGTGTGTGCCACCATGCCCGGATAATTTGGATTTTAATAGAAATTGTATCTATTTATTTTAAATAAGCATAGTACAAATGCAGGCCTACATTTAAAAAAATAAAGTCATACTGTCTTGATACTTTAAAAATAATTAGGAAAGAAAAAGAAAAAAAGGGGAAATAATATTTTAAAAAATTTTTAAAATCTGAGTTTAACTGTTCAAAAATCATTATTAGGTAAATTACGCTTATTTGATATATACAAACATAAACCTCAAAATCTGAGGAAAAATGAGGATAGGTCTTAGTAAAGAATTCATGTCTGTGTTCATTAATAAGACAAAAACACCACATTGTGAAAATGAGTTTCCATGTACAGTAAGTTTAGAGCAGAAGTACCACGACCTCCCAAAATAATTTTCTCCCCAAAATAGTAGCCAAACTTAATTTTCTGCACCTGTGTAGCCTAAGTCACTTTGACTCAAAACAAGAACACTGAGAATTAAGGGAGGCCTCTAGGATGACAGTTCTACAAATACTAAGCACTAAATACTGAGTACTGGTCAACTTTGAAGCTTCTATTTCAACAACCTCAAAGAAAGGGACTTGGGACCCACCCATATGCGAAGGCCACCCATAATAAAACATACACTTATAAAACTGCAGGGCATTCCTTTGTCATTTTAAGGCACAGTCTGTTTTATTCCAAATGACTGTAAATTCAAGGTCACAGTGATAATATATATTCAATTTTGGTCTGGTTTCCCATGGGTACATTGCTACATGTCATAAGATTAAGAAACTGCAATACAGTCATTTCAAAATCATACATTTAAGTCATTTTTCCATTTAAAAAATGTAAATACACACTATAATTTCCTAATTTATATGCACTAAAAATTGGAGCTTCCCCCTCTTCCCCACAACACAGGAGAGGACAGTTCATTCTACTAGTATTCCAACAATGCACTTTTGACTATGTAGAAAGCATGATTATGTTAGGACACAGGCATCTCCTACTAAGGATGTAATTATTCAATACAGAGGACAAATCCATTCCAAATGACAGAACACACTGAATTCACGTCTTATGCATCTTTTTGTTTTAATATTACCCACAGTCCACATTAGACGATTAAACTGTAATGTAAGGCCAAATATTTCAGTATTTGGCTCTCTGTGCTACCTCTTCACTTCCAAGGCTACTTAAGCAAACGGTACCGACATCACTGTACAGAGAATCAGGAGGCGACACTAAATGACGGGCAAACTGTCACACGGGGGGCTAAAGTTTCTTTAAACTTTCTATGGGGAGAAATTAAAGGCTTTCAAGCAAATAAACAGCAGTTTGAGAGCCCATCATATTTCTAACTTTTCTCTCAATAGCAGAATGCAGTATTAACATTAACCCTTTAGCATTAATTCCTGCTTGTTTATAACATTTTGATATAATGTATGACTTTTTAGAAGCTTCCTTCATGCACTGTTCATGTGGGTTCTAATGGATAATCTCCCTCTGCAATGTGTTATACAGAGGGACTGAATGGCAATGGGATTCTACAGTAAACTTCCATTACCTAAACGAGACACCTGTACCAAGAGTGGGATGTACAACAGTGTTTCATGTCACAGGATGAGTCTGCACAGAATGATTTCAAATGAGTACTTCACTTAACTGTTGAAAGATCATTATTAAGTGGATGGACTTTTACCCAATAAAATCAGAAAATATTGGAGAAATGTGCAAAGCAGAGTACATTATGCTATAACTTTGAATATTTTCAAAGAAAAATTAAGAGTTTGGAATATAATTTTTCATGATATACACATTTATTATAGGTCATGGGTGAAAAATACCAAAAAGATTCTTTTTGCTTTAATCTCAATATACTAAGAAAAGTTCATTGGCACAAATATCCAGAGGTATTTTACAATTTCATTTAGCTTTGGTGGTAAAGTGTGTTTTGCTAACCATATGAATACAGCCATATAGTTTCCACTGCAGAGCTATCCTAAAAAGAATTCAAATCAGTCATTTTTTTTTTTCCTAAAAAAAGGATGAAAAAGTCCGGTATGAAACAGAATAAGTGCAACATGAAATATAAAATGGCCTGTCTTTTAGGCTTTTGAACAGTTAGTAGTTCTATGCTTTGACTATAAACTCTCTCTTACTAGTAACTTTCCTATATAAATACTAAAAGTCAAAATTACATTAAAAATAGTATTATGAATGTTACAAAAATGGCTACTGTTAGACTTCCCAAGATAAGGTTAGAATTCAAATATGCAAGCTTACACAATTCATCAAAGCACACCGAGTTTTTCACAAGTTACAATGTACAGAATAATTACAGGTTGATTCTGATTCATATATATCAAGTCTTATACAAAGTTATCAGAAATTAAATGATGTCATGATAGTTAAAACCAGAAGTTTTTGGCAGTATAACCATGCCAAATCCTTTCAGAAAGTACTTGACTTAAAAATAATTAGTCATAGACAATTTAATCAAGATGTAGCTAAGAATAATACCTAATGTTTGAAAGACACGTTATCAACTTAGGTACACTGTTACATTTACACTATTGATATTTATTCTACTCCCAAATTTCATTCTGTTCTCATAACTAAGTTTCTAACATATACAATTTAGCCTTCTCTATTCATAATGTATCTTATTTTTAAAATGTGAATTCTTGAGCATTCGCATATTTGGATTTTCTTTCACATTATCCTCATGAAAAGTAAAGAATATTGAGTAGTAATGTGTATAAATAAAAGATTACTTCAGAATTTGAAACATTCTTTGTTCAAAAGCCCTGGGATGAGCTGCGAGTGGTGGTGCACGCCTGCAATCCCAGCTCTTGGGAAGCTGAGACAGGAAGATCACCGTGAGTTCAAGGCCAGCATGAATTACATAGTGAGACCCTGTCTCAAAAAACCAAAACAAAAACCAACCAATCAAACAAACAAAACACCCTGGGCTAAAATATCAGTTCCCAATCATCTTATGATTATGCAAAAGTTCCTTCTAAATTGACATGTATTTGATAAGGAAGACCCTTGGCTGGGTCTAATTTCCTACTATGGAGATACTTCTGTTGCTGCCATTATTCTGGTCAATGCCCTACTCTCAAAGTTTATTTTCCTCATAATGAACTTCACAGAGTATCTTGTTTCCAATGGTATCTAAGTTTACAAACCCCACACACTGGGAACATGAAGACTAGTCTGAGAATAACAGACGCCTCGTCAGAGGAAGTCCCAACACGTTTCGGAAATTTTCCCAAATGATTTTAGTAAGTAGTGCCCAAAATTTCAAATGCAGCATGATAGTTTTGCACTAACTCAAATAATGATGTTAGAAGACGTCAGACCTCATGCGTAGGACAGAAATGTGGGCCAAGTGATTATCTGCTGTGTCATAGCTAAAAAATGCACTCCATGACTGTTTATAAAATATTTAACTAGAATCCATTTTGTAATGCTTAAAATATTCTGTTGGCATAAATACGATTTGAGGACTTGGTGATAAGTATATTCACACAAAAATGCTCTAGTGAGAATTAGTGTGCCTGGTCTACTGCTTTAAAAAGCAACTGTCCACTACTGAGCAAGAAATTCCTAAGCAGCCCTGACTGGACAAGAGACTTTCAATCCCATAAACATGATAATTATGGCTGCCAACTGAAGATCAAATTAATTAATACTCTTAAAATTCTTTCTGTGTATAGAGGACTTAAGTTCAAATTTTTTTCTGTATATGGACTAAGTTCAAATTCAGAAGAGTTAAATGACACATTTAACCTATACTTGGGATACAGAGTACTGGAGACAAAACAAAAGATACCATGTGTGTATAAGCCGTTTTGTACGTACTGCCAAATACAGGCAGATGTGTCCCTCTTTACAGACCTGGTGTCCCATGAGCAAGTGTAAGATCTAATAAACTGTCTTTGCTCTCAGGTGCTGAACACATAAGCATTTCAAAGCTCATTCCTTTTGCTCCTGCTCTCCAGTCAACACAAGCTTGCTGAGTCTGTCACCGCTACCATCAGGTTATCTATCACTCTTTTCAAGGGTCTCAGCAACAATATGCATACTGAACAATAAGCACAAGGCTAGAACAGATTCGGAAAAACTTGTAAGCCTCAGAGGTACTAACAAGACCCTCTGTGACTAATGCCGAAACAGCATGGCGGAGGAGAAACCAGGAGGAACGAGATACAACACTACAGACACAGGAGTGGGAGGAACCTCAAGGCGGCAACTGAGAGAACACTGGACCAGAGCTCAGCAGACAGAAGGAACTGATCCTCTAGGCCAGTGGTGGTGAACCTATGGCACTTGCGCCACAGTGGCTGTCTGTATCATTGAGAGCCCTAAAGGGTTGGCCATCACTGCTCTGGGACATCCCCATTCCCCAGTGCCACAAAGGACAGTGGCTCACGCTGCCATGGCGGAATCGCCAGAGGGAACTTGAGGACATTTTGTGAGAGGTTTTGGACATGGAAAGCACCCACACGTAAAAGAAGAGCTCTAAGAGCCAGTGCTCCTCAGGCCGCATTCACTCTGAAAGCAGAGCACTTAACATTCTCCGCCTGCTCCCTTGCCCTTTGCACTGTCTTCTAGCTAAGCAGGACCTGCATTTGAAATTACGTAGAAATGTTACTGCCTCATTTATCGGACAAGTCACCTGGCCCCTCAAGGTTTCACCATTAAATCTTGTGCTACAGTCCCCAATTTCTTCAGGTGTGCTTTTATATTTATGCTATACTTACTGTTCCCCAGTAGTTTACATTTGTGCACTGAATATGATGCTACACTTGATCATGCTTTTTCCACAGTAGACAGAAATGGTGCAAACTTAGTTTTTGCCAATTACTGAAATTTAGTTAGCAGTCTACCCTCACCTGAAGAAATTTCAGCAACCATCAGGACAATGAATTAAATCAACAAAAACGAACTACTCTAATGACAATAATACCTTTAAGAATATTTTTAAAATTTAACAAGACACAATTCATATTTCAGAATAACAAGAAAACTTCCGTATTTTGAATGTGAATCGTGTTTCCACTCACTGATCTTACAGTGCTTATCAAAAACAAGTCTCCTTGTAATTCAAAGCTCTCTTTCATGTATGAAGGAGGTAGCTCGCTTTTTTCACCGTAACGGCCAAAGAGACCAAAGACTCTCTGTGGCTATTTCACTTCCGAGAAACCAAACAGTTGTGAAATTCATCACCCTTGAAAACTCATTTGACAGTATGTAAATGACAGCAAATAGAAAACAAGTCACTTTTCAGAAGGTGCCGAACAGCTGACTGCTTGATGGACGGCATGCGGGCCGGGCGGGTGCACAGGCGTCTGCGTCCTCAAGCACCGGGCTGCCACCAGCCCTCCACCAGGCCCCGAGACAGCACACGCAGAAGGGAGGCCACCCTACAGCGAAACCATGCTTCACCTCCTCTCCTCAGGCCTTACAAAACTAACTTCCTACTCTTACCAGTGTAAAAACAGACTTGGGTGTCCACGCAGCGAGCCTGCGTCCACCATCCCAGCCCTCAGGCATCGGCCGCTGCTGCTCTCCCCGGGTCCCTCTCACATCAGGTTGCACAAGGCGTGGAGCAGAAGAGGAACGAAGGCGAAGCCCAGGACCCTGTACAAGTGCGCAGAGCCGAAAGCGGTCACGCCGACAGCCAGGGGAAGCGCCACCTGGGAGGCGGTCTTCAACAGTTTACTGCAATGAGACAGAGAATACACAGTGCGTCACTTACTCTGGGAGCTAACATGGAATATGTCCATTTTGTGTACGGCTGGGAGCCAGAAATGTTCTAAGTGACTTTAAATGAAATAACTTTTTTATATAATGAATTTACCTGTTCTGAATGTTTTGTTTTGTTTTTGGTACGGGGGATCGAACTCGGGTCCTTGGACTTGTGCAGCAGGCGGTGAAACCACTGAGCTAAATCCCCGGAGAAACATTTCTATTCAGAAAATGGCCAATTTTGTTTATTTTTTCAAACTTTAACAATGGAAAAATACTAGTTAAACTTTTATTCTGCAATTCTACCTCTAAAACTTTATCATAACAAAAATAGTTATGTTCACTAAGATAGTTAGAGAAGTGTCATTTTAATCCTGTTTATAATAGCAACAACACAAGCAAACCAAAGAGGAACCATGTTTAAATCCCAACAAAAGAAGCATGTAAGTCAGGACAACATTTTTATTTATTTATTTTTGTTGGTACCAGGGATCGAACTCTGGTCCTTGCGCTTGCACAGCAGGAGGCGAAACCACTGAGCTAAATTCCCGGCCCCTCTAAGACAATATTTTTAAAAGAAAACTAACTCTCAGGACGGGCTGTCGTCTTTTTACCTTGGAACAGAGAAAAGGAGGATGAGAAGGGATCAGAAGCCTGCCTGAGGACACAGAGCCACGATGCAGCAAAGACCGAAAGCCCCAGATCTGCCTCACTCTAGGACATTGCTCAGTATCTGCTAGAACCAACCGAGGGGCTCCCAGAACCAGCAACCAGAAAAGCCAAGTCTTACTGTGGAGAATTTCAAACACGAGTAACAACAGACTGACAGGGTCCTGAACCCTCATGCACCCTTTAAACACTCAAATCCTGGCCAATCTTTCTTCACCTACATTTGTATCTCCATCTACTTCTACTCCTGAAGTTGTTTTTGGTTGGTTTTTTTGGTCTTTTTGAGACAGGGTCTTGCTATGTAGCCCAGGCTGGCCTCAAATTTTCAGTGATCCTCCTGCCTCAACCTCCCGAGTGATGGGATTATAGGCTTGCGCCACCATGCCCGCCCTCCTGTAGTTTTTGAAAGTAAATCTTATGCATCATGGTTTTGTTTTTGTTTTCTTTTGGTACCAGGGATCAAACTCCTGTCCTTGCGCTTGAGCAGCAGGCGGTGAAACCACTGAGCTAAATCCCCGGCCCCTGCATCATAGTTTTTAAAGGAAAAAACTCACATATTATTACACCCTAACAAGTAAAACTTATAGTTAAGAAAACAAGTATAACATAATCACATACAAACTGTACCTTCATATTAAGCCACAATATTGTTAGGCTTTACTTTCAGGAATACTCAAATCAACTACAAATAAAGAGTGTACTCCAGAAATAAAGTACAGGGTGATACAGGCCAGGAACAGACAGGACAGGAAGAGAGATTAAACTATTATACCTTGATTTTATTGACACCGTGTAAGTATTTCCAAGAACTGCCATGGTTGGAATAAGGATAAATGCCAAAGGTTTACATGGATCAGGATTAAGTTTAAAATAATACCTATCATAAAAGAAAAAAAAAACATGAATCAATAAAGCAAAGTTGATCATTGTGGATGAGCTGGATGTCTACAGCTCTTGACAGCCCTACGTTTCTCCTCCAACAATCCAGCTGTGAATCTATGAACAACAATCTGAGTCTTGACTAAAGGGAGGGACAAGGGAAGCATATTAATGTCTGGTAAACTTTTATTTAATTTACTAAATTTATCTTGCTTTACTGACTTAAAATGCCCTCACTATTTAGATATTCTAGAACCTTTGCATCTTTTTTTATGAGTAGGGATTTGACTACTACTTGGATGAGGTGGCCTTATATTTAGCAATGTACAAAAATAAAAATACAGATCATTCTTTTGGGCCCACTTTGGGGAAGTCTACAGTCCCCAGGTCTATAAGCTCACGGTAAGGGAGAACGTGAATGTACTGGAAATATATCTTAGATAATATGCTGCTTCCTGCGCTTGAGTGATTTTCATGGGCCATTGGAAATCTAGTAAGTCTCTACCTGCAGATTCTTGTCTTAAGCACATAAATAATTCCATAAAATACAACACACCGGAGGTTCTTTAGCCAGTAAGCTAAAGATGGCATGCTGAGCAGGACGACCCAGGCCAGCAGGTTGAGCAGCACGCTGTGCATACGCAGGCTGTCCTCCGCATCTGCCGCTGACACACGAAGTGGGTGCACCGCAGAGTCTTTATAGTGGTTGGATTTTTTTTCACTTCTTCTCGAGTGCTTGGTATTCTATAAAACAAAAAGTAAAAACATCAAATACTAAGGGACCAGAAAAGTAAAATTAAGGTATTATTTTATTTAGAACTATACTCAATTACTTATCAGCTAAATAAATACATTTTTTCATTATCATGCTGAGGTCAAATATTGAATTATCTTGTCTGTATCCTTTAAAATGGTCAGTTACAAAACTTTATCTTTTGACTTCCTATTTTTAGTGCTGAGAATACATCCTCTAAGTAATTGCTCAAAACAAAATTTAAAAGATAACAATTTGTAATAGGAACAAAAAGACACAGGTACTGAGAGAGACCTTATTCAATTCAGAATGTTTTAAGTCTATTTTCTTACAGTTACTTAAGTTCATAATATCTGTTTTTTGGTATGTGGATCAAACTTAGGACCTTGCATTTGTGGGGGAGGCATGGTGCCACTGAGCTACATCCTGGGATTTTTTTTTTTGAGACAGGGTCTTGCTCGGTAGCCCAGGCTGGCCTTGAACTTGCAGTGATACTCCTGCCTCAGCCTCCTGAGTGCTGGGATGACAGGTGTGTGCCACCACACCTGGCTTAAATTCATAGTATCTTTTAAACACTAAAAATCCTAACCTTTCTAAAAAAAAAAAAATCAATTCATATTTTCTCATATTATTTCACATTAAAGTTATGTAGAGTTTTGAAAATAAAACTTACCACAGACTGGCTACTCTTAAAATTTATTAGGCTTGCTTGTAGATGAACAATCTAAAAAAAGAAATGACTTTCATTTTACTTGTATTTTGAAACAAAACGTACAAGCCTTCTTTTTTTTTTTTTGAGACGGTCTCACTATGTAGTTCAGGCTGGCCTCAAACTCACTGTGATCTTCCTGCCTCAGCCTCCTGAGTGCTAGAATTACAGACATGTGACACCACACCTGGCTCCTTTTTATTAAAATGAATTTAATTACATTAAAAATACAAAAACAAAATACTAAAGACAGAAAAAAAATACTTCCACAGTATATAGGGAGCCAGACAAACTGCTATTCCTTTTACACACTACTGTGAAGCTGTGTTTGACACCTTGCTACAGCAACTTTACATGTCATGTGGGTCAAATATTTGATTGTACTTACTATAATAAAAGTAAAAAAATTATATATAGTGGTGAAATATTTACAAGAACTTGAGACAGTATATAAATTTAACTTACTAGGTTCCCTTAAATTAAGTATCTCAGAAAGAGTCAGGTGTATAACTTGCTTATTGGATCAGTTGTATGACTAATAAAAACTAAAAATATTACATTTAAAAGTTGAAGTCGCTCTGAAGAGTTTTTAGATCTGCATAAGTTTTCTTTGGAAAACAGAACAATCTCTATGTTCACGTACTGCTGTCAAAAGCAGAGGCAAATGTATCAGTGTTTCTGAAAGGAAACCTAATTGTCCACTGGGATGCAACTGTGTGCCCACAGATTCCTGCACGTCTGCAGCTGTGTAACCCTGGGATCTTCCTGCAAAGCCGCCAGCCTCCCTGGAAGCGTCTTTTACTGCAATAAAATTAACCGCCTAATAATTTTTATCACTGGCTTCTGATTCCTTGCAACATTTATTAATATTTTATGTTATCTGAGGATGACTGATAACTCGATCCCAACATAATATTTTGTTTTCACTCACTCATGTTCACAAAGTAGGAATGAAACTATTCTAATAAAATGTTAAAAAAGCAAATATTTGCAAGAGTGAGATGCAACCTAAAACAGATTAGAACTTTTCGGCTTGGAAAAAACCCTCAAATCATTAATTTCAATTTTACGTTAACTATATATAATTTAAATAACCAAGATGTGTAAAAATCCTTTTATTACACCCCTACACAACACAGCATTACTCCAGCCGAGACTCTGTCCCCCGCTTTCTGACATCCCTCCGTACCTTGTACAGGTAGCAGAGATAGGACAGCAATATGGCAAGTGCGCCACAGGTGGCCCAGCTAATGACCAGCAGGGCCACTGTCAGGAAGGGCAAATCTGGAGATAGGATCCTGACATCTTTAGGAAGTTCAGAGGGTCTGGAATAAAAGGAATACAGCATTAAAAAAAACACAGTCAACAGGGATTGATACAGTCCATGTAAGACAACGACAATGTGTAGGCTGAACATCTCTAAGACAAAAATCCAAAATTGAAATTGTTCGAAAATTCACAACTTTTTTTTTTGGTACCGGGGATCAACTCGGGTCCTTGCGCTTACGTAGCAGGCGGCGAAACCACTGAGCTAAATCCCCAGCTGAATTCACAACTTTTAAAGCATCAACAAAATGCCACAAGTGGACAATTGTGCACTCAACTTCATATGTGAGTCACAGTCAAAATGCAGATACACGGGCTGGGGACTTAGCTCAGTGGTTCCGCCGCTTGTCTCAAAAGCACAAGGTCCCGAGTTCAATCCCTGCTACAAAAAATAAATATAAATAAATAAATAAAAAGAGATAAGGAAATCATAACTAAAAAATTATACTTAAAAAAACCCCAAAATGCAGATACGCTAAAAATACTGGAAGAAACTATTGAGGGCGTGTGAATGAGGTACAGGGAACATAAGTGAATTCTGTGCTTGGATTTGGTTCCCATCCAAGATACGAATTTTAATAGGCTTGTGTTTATGTATATACACTACATATATGCATATACTCCAAATTCGAAAAACACCTGAAATCTCAAACACCTTTGGTCCTAAGCATTTCAGATAAGGGCTACTGAATCTGAATATTCTGCCAGCCTCTCTTGCTTATTAGTATGTAAAATCCTAAGGAAAACAGTGAGGCATTTTTCAGTAGAGGAAAGTGGTCACATGTATTTGATTTTTAAGGACTGAGATACACTGTCAGAACTCTTCTGTTTAGATACACCATGGCTAATACTGGGAGTAAGGAAGAAAACTGTTGCCAAAGGTCACCATTAATCTTAGACCCTGTGCCATACATCTCCAATCTTGACAGGAAAAAGAATTTTCCTTTTTTTTTTGTACCGGGGATCAAACTCAGGCCCCTATGCTTTCAAGGCGGGCGGCAGCACCACTGAGCTAAATCCCCGGCTCATTTTGGTTTTTGAGAAAGGGTCTCACCATGTAGTTCAGGCTGGCCTTGAACTCATGGCAATCCTCCTGCCTCAGCCTGCCAAGTGCTGGGGTTACAGGTATGCGCCACCACACCTAGCCAGAATTTTCCAGTTTTTAAAGCCCAGTGACACTCAGATGCTTGCTTGACAGTGTCACTGCTAGAAACCTGTCAGAAGCAGTCAGAGGTGGAGAAGACGTTCCCAAGTTTCCCCATCTGTGAAATAAATCACACACCACAACTGGTATGGAGGAACGCAAGGAGACTAGACCGGTGTTCTGCCAGCAAAGCTGATCAGTAACTTGAGAGACGCGGTGTCTCTGGCTGAATAGCACAACTCCAGGCAATGTCCTTGGGGTTTCTGTACATCTCATCTAATCAGACGCTGAATATACTGACTGGAGTCTTCTGCCCTCAGGCTTCATTAGGGAAGTCAGCCTATGAAAGCATTTCTCAGAGTAAAAATTCCTCCTGAGAAAGACTGACAACCATGAAATGTGTCAAGCTTTTTTTTTTTGGTACCGGGGATCAAACTCAGGACCTTGCGCTTGTGAGGCAGGCGTGGTGCCACTGAGCTAAATTCCTGGCCCTGTGTCAAGCTTTTTTGATGAACTTTTGGATACTAAGGTCAAAACCACAGGTTCTTTTTAACTACCAATAAATAATCAGTTTTCTAAAAATGAAATTTTATTTTATTTTATCCCATTTTAAATGATTAGCTTTTTTTGGTACCAGGGATCAAACTCCGGTCCTTGCGCTTGCGAGGCAGGTGGCGGAACCACTGAACTCAATCCCCGGCCCTAAATGATTAGATTTGATAAAGATATAACCACTGATTTTGCTCGTCCTACATCCTTGTAAAACAATGTTAAGAATGTAATTTTTCTTAATTAAGAGCCATAGAAAGCTTTCTGTCATTTACATTACCTCTTTAAAGATAGCCACAAGGAAGAAAGCAGTCTCACAGACGCACAAGATAGCAGGCCACTCCAGTAGGCAATACATGTTCCAAACAGAAAGAGAATCAAGGACACAAGGGGGAAACACATACTCTGACTTGTTAAAACGATGGCATCTAATTCTGGTAATAACAGTAAGTCCCATAGCTCCTTAAACCATTTACACCTATGGGCAAAAGAAAGCAAAATGAAAGCAAACAAAACACAGCAAAAACAAAACCCAACAACAAACTGACATCAAAGACATCATATCTCAGGTGTCTGACCATTTACTAGAGTCCTTACAGTTGCATATTTATTTTACATTTTATACTGGAAAAAAAATCTTCAATGAAATAATTCATTTATCTTCCAAGTAAGCCTACCAATCTTCAAGTATTTAAACCCTCAGTCTCAACAATTTTACTGGTCTCTATTGGTCCCTGTAGGAAGTAATACAATTTTTTCAAGGTTAGAAAGCCAACAGCTGGTTGTAATGAAAGAATCAAAGAGATGTAAGCAAAGGCTGGTAATCAAAAAATACAAAGCTTGAATAAGTTAAGAATGGAAGGTTGACTAGGGTAGAGAAGTTTAAAATACACTTTCTATGGGAAGTAAGAGAAAGTGACTGGAGGGACTGTTTCATCTAACCCTGTAATAGTTTGTGTTTGTCTCTCTGGGATCTTTTTGGATCATTTGTGAACATTACAGCGCTGTTATATTTACAGTCTAAGTTTAGAATGACACAGATGTTCAAACATTACCTTAAAATGATATTATTGAAATAAATATTGATATATTTTTATTAAGTCTTTTCCTAAGAGAAAAATCCCATTTAGTGAAACAAGTCAATTGCCAAATTTATATGAAAATAGAATCAAACAATGTTTCATATACGGTACAAAATTAAAATCATCATCAGATAATAAAATAAAACTTACCCCAATAAAAACTTAATCATAATTACAAAAGGGTCAACTTTGTATGGCTTGGCTTCTTTATCCAATATGGCAGCATATTCTAAACAATAACCTGGTAATTAAAAAAAATTACATGCAACAGAGAATTCACAGTAATTAAGTATGAACTATTATCTTGTGTTGTCTACAAGAGCAACATATTTTATGTCACAAAAGCAAATGGTCCTCACTACTATTACAGAGACTCTTCTTCAAAGATTGAAAATTACTGTGAATTCAATGGTTCTTACAGAAGACTGTACATTCAGTAACAAATTCGGTAAGTCAAAGCTAGCGTCTCACCGTGTATTCTCACAAATCTCCACAGGTAACTTTCAAACACAGCTTTATTTGAGATATAATTTTCATGCCATACGATTCATCCATTTAAAGCCTATGATTCTGCAGTTTGTCTTTTTTAGCTACATGTAAGATGGAAAATACTTAGGAAGCACTGACCCATTGAAACGAAGGAGAACGAGAAGGGAGGGAAGGAGTGCAGATGAGGGAGGAGAGAGGGGGGAAAGGAAGGGAGAAGGGAAGGAAACAGAGAAGAGGAAGGATGGACAATAAGGGAACAAATTAGGATGACGAAGCAGGAAACCGGGCAGCGGCTCCTACTAACAGAAAGCCGTTACATCTCTGACATAGTCCTGCAGCTGCAGCAGCAGGAGGAAGCATGGGGTCGGGTTGTAGAAAGAGAATCTGAATCCTATCAAGCCTGTAGCTGTCATTACCAATTTATGAAAATCAGAAGATAAAAGATATTTGGGGAGGGCAGTAAGGAATTGAGAAACATCAACACATATTATATGCATGGATAATTCCCCCAAACAAACATCACTATTATGAATTGTAAATCTACACTAATTTATATTTTTTAAAAGTCTAATTACACCATGGGGGTGTAATCAGCAAAATTCATACTGTGAAATATGATCACACAGAATGGTTGTGGTCAATCCATTTATAGGCGAGGAAAAAAGAGATGGAGAATAGAAACTATAGCTTAAGAAACTTAATGATTAAACTTAATGACAAGCTGCAATGTGTAGATTGTATTCAGGAGAAATTTTAATAATTTGATAATATTAGGAGATTTTTAAATTTTTAATATTTTTAAATTTAGTATTTTCAAATGGAGAATAGAAACTATAGCTTAAGAAACTTAATGATTAAACTTAATGACAAGCTGCAATGTGTAGATTGTATTCAGGAAAAATTTTAATAATTTGATAAGAGAAATTTGTTCCCAGTTAAAATTAGCATCAGAAACAGGACGTTTTGTATTCATCAGTAAGAGCTATGAAGCTGTCAAGTGTTCCTTAGTTGTCCCCAAAGGCAACTGGGATAGACATCCTTTGGTGTTATGTTTAGATATAAAATGTCCCTCCAAATTCTCATGTGTTAGAGGTGGAGCTTTTGGAGGGTGACTACATCATGGGGGTGCTCTACTTAATGGTGAATTAATCCATAGATGAGTGTGCTATTAGGAAG